TTTTTTTTTTTTTTTTTTCGGTACGCGGGCCTCTCACTGTTGCGGCCTCTCCCGTTGCGGAGCACAGGCTCCGGATGCGCAGGCTCAGCGGACATGGCTCACGGGCCCAGCAGCTCCGTGGCATGTGGGATCTTCCCGGACCGTGGCACGAACCCGTGTCCCCTGCATCGGCAGGCGGACTCTCAACCACTGCGCCACCCCGGAAGCCCTGGCTTCACCTTTTGACTTATATGATTTATATAGTGATTGGAATATTGGAGTGAAGTTTGGTGGTAGAGATGGTATAAAAGTCTTGAAGTTAGTTATTTGTATCTGATAACTGGATGATATTAGATGCTTTGTATCTAAGCATTTATTATGAACTATACAGAGATACATAAATCCTTTCATCAGAACCACCAACCTGTTGAGCTTAATATTCATTCTATTTGCAGATGAGGAAACTGAAGCTTAGAAAGAGGATCAGTAACTTCCCCAAGGCTACACAGCTAGTAAGTGATAGATTTTAAATTAAGTCTGTTTGACTCCGAAGTTATTTATAAGCTTTAAAACCAATTGTCTCAAATGGAACATCAAGCCTATGTTTCTTCACAGTAGATTTTCTCCCTAATCATTTGGTTACTTGTTTGAACTCTTATAGAAAAGCTGGGTTATAGTCCTGGCTTTGACTGCGCAGCTTAGTGTCCTCCAGTATGCCACCTGAATTCTCTGGACCCCTGTCTTGTACGTTGAATGAGGGCTGGACCACGTGATCACCAAGCTCTTTCTAACAGTCAGCTCTTACAATCTCTCTACTTTGTGGATGCAGTCTCTGAGTCTAGCTCGCTTATTCACTTTCCTAAATATAATGCCTTCTATTTGGGGCAAATATATGTATATTTTTATTACTGGTAATATACCACTCACCTCTAATGTGAGCTGACTGCTGTAGGTAATCATTTATTGCATTTCCTGTATAGCAGGAAATATACTAAGTGCTCCATTTGGATGATCACAACAGCTCTATGAGGTGGATTTTAAAGTTCCCGTTTTATAAGGGGGAGGAAGGTTTTGACTTATCCAAGGTCAAACTAGAGAGTGGTGGAGTGAGAATTCCAGCACTTGTGTGTTTTGACAACAAAGCCCTTATATGTTAATGGAACATTAACGAAACTATGTATTTTCTATTTCTGCTTTAGGCTTAAAGATCATGGACATTGTCTTTCCAACCAGTTTTTTTCTTTTTATAAGGTATTGTTAGCTTCTGTCTGTGATTTTACGATCTGCTCACTTTCTGCCCGCTTTACCAACCACGGGGAGAAGGAGACTGGGAAGGAGGTTACTCTTTTTGTGCTAAACGCCTCTTTCGAAGTCTACGTTTGCAGCGAAGAGCAATAAAGCGAACGGAACCCCTGGCTTTGTGCCTCTGCGGCGAACCGCCCATCTTCCGCGTCCTGAGAATTCGCCTTCTTCTGCTGAACTACGTTTCCCAGCGGCTCGCGCAGCCGAGAGCGCGGGCTCGACCCGCCCTTCCTTCCTCCTTGCCTATCACCCGGTCGCAGCGTGATTATGCAAACTCGTCGGGCGCTAACGAGTGACGACCTTCTGGCTCACGACTGCAGCGGCGGCCTTAGCAGCGGCAATAGACGCAACAGCGGCGACTGCAGGGAAGACGACGACGGCTGGGCGGGCGCTGTGCGCAAAGGGGAGGGGTAGGCGGGCGGCGCCGGCGGCTTCAACTGCGGCAGCTACGGCTAGGGCGACGGAAGAAGAACCTCCAGCAGCCGGCGGTTGAGTTAGGCCTAAGCAGCGCCCGGAGCCGCCCGCACTGCCCTCTGCGGGGGAATCTCCACAGAGACGGGTGACATACACAGAGGCGGGGGTCCGCGAGAGGCTGCCGGACTGGAGCCAGCTCCTCGGCCTCTGTCGCCGCCACCCCCTTCCCTGCCGCCAGCGCGCGTTCTCTCTCCGCTCCTGCTCGCAGCCCCGCGATTCCTGGTGTGCCTGTGCCCCGCTGTGTGGGCAGCGCGTGCGTACTTTTGGGCTGGGGCCGGGCGGGGGGGGCTCTAAGGCCGTCTCTGCCTCTCCCGCCCCGGAGAGGGAAGCCGCGGAGGCTCACGCCATGGCCTCGGGAGCTGGAGGCATAGGAGGGGGCGGTGGCGGCAAGATCCGGACTCGGCGTTGCCACCAGGGGCCAATTAAACCTTACCAGCAGGGGCGACAACAGCACCAGGTATGGGACCCCGGCGCCGTGGGGGCCTAGCGGGTCGGGAACTGGGCGGGAGTGGACGGGCGGCGAGGGGCCCCGGCGCCCCACGTGGAGCGGACGGGAGGGCCTGAGCGGAGGCCCGAGCGAGGCGGCGGGAGCTCTGGCCGCTGGGGCGGCGACGGGAAGTGGGCTGAGACGGGCCAATCCTGCGGCGCACACGTGTGGTTCGGCCGCCTCTCCCCAGCCCTCTCCGCCTGGGGCTTTCCCCCGACCAGCGCAGGGCGGGAACAGAAATCCTAGGCCACGCTGGGCCTAGAATTCTTCAGTTTTTTGGCGGGGATTGGGGGTTTGAGGGTATTACTCACGTTCTCTCGAGGGAGAAGGAAAAAGATGTGGCTGGAGGCCCCTACGCCTGCTGTTCGTTAGTCTCCCGCGTCTTAGCGTGTGTGGGGAGGGGGCTGCCCGGAGGAATCTGCCTCCGGGGCACCCGGGGGTTGTCGGGGGCGCTGTTAGCGCGGAAAGTGGAATAACTTACAACGCGATTAATTAATTCTCCATCTCCCGGTGTCCCTCCCCGATCTGAGAGCACTGGCTTCGATTTTGTTTTGTTTGTTTGTTTGTTTGTTTGTTTCTTAACCGGCTTATAGTTGCACTGGGGCGTTTTGAAAGTCCCTCTCCACACTTACGTCTCTTTTCCGTCGCGAGACTCTTTCCTCCCCACTTTTGTCCAATTCCCCTCCCCCGCCACCCCACCCCCCTGCCTTTTATTTTGGAAGCTGGAATTGGCCATTCTGCACAGCTGACCAGGACTCCAGTTCTGATCTCACGCACAAACTATTTTAATGTTACGGGGCGTATTCTAGAAGTTTAGGTACTTTTGACACTCCAGGAATGTTGGTGGTCTTATAAGCTAAGCACCCTGTGCACTCGTGGGTGTTTGAAATTATGAAAAGGAGTTTATCCTAATTGTAACTGAGACATTTGATTCTGAGACAACTCAGTTTTTAAAATTTTACTTGTTATGGGGATTGAGTAGGAATATGTTAAGAATATTCTAATAAACGTCACTTATAACACTTTTCAGGGATACTAAGGTAGAGTAAGTGTGGGTCTTAAACTTATAAAAAACACAAAGGTATAGCAAAAGGGTCTGATAACTTGTCGCTGCTTACTGTTAAGGGTAGACTTCCTAGGTTGCCTTATTCTGGATGATGATGAATGTTGAACACTTTAACATGTTTGGTGCTGGTGTTAAATTGTATCATTAAAAACAGAATTTTTAAAGATTTCAGAGAAATTTATTAATAGTAAAAATTGTGGTTTATAATATTAGGTAGCTCTCTACTTACAGTTACAGGTCTTGGCCTTACTTTTACCTCCCACCGGTTTTCCCCCAGATATATACCAAAAAGAGCTTGGTTTTCAGATTCCTTTGTGAGGAGCAGGGGTACTTGCAGGCAGATTTAAGATTAGAATTCAGGTCACAAGCCTGGCCATTTAACCTAATCTTTTGGTTGAGTGGAAGTTAAACACACATGCTTTCTGTTTTTCCTGAAGAATAAATGTCTTTGAGTGCTTTCTAGTTCTCCTCAAAAGAAAGTTACTACATAAAATAAATTTGTAGATACACATCATTGGATGGTCTGGGCAGAGTTTAGAAAGGAGCTCATATATTCTGAGTGGCAAAAGCCAAAAATCACACCTTATTTTTAAATGTACTTAGATAAAAATCTGATTTGGGGGAGATGATGCCTTAACAACTAACACCTATGATCCAAGTTGTCTTAGAGCTGGTATGATTTCAGACTGTGTAGTTTTGTTTTAAAACCTGATAGTTTATCATTTCCACCTATTTAAAGTACTTTCAGCTTTTTGCCCCACCCATTTAATTGAAAAAGAAAGTACATTTTTAGCTTTTGAATTGGATCAGAGGTGTTTGGGGGTTTCTTAATCAACACTGAAGGTATTAATATTGGCAGATACTACCAAAGAAAAGTATCCAGGAATATACAAAAGAATACTTTAAGGAGTTTTTAAAAACAATCTTAAAATAAGGACTTTCTTTAATCCTTACTGGAACTTTTGTGAACTTGTAGACTATGTGGTTGCTGTCAACTATCCTAGGCGGTCACCTCTCTGTTTTGCAGCAACTGCTGAGTCATCATGAATAGCAAGGAGCTTCATGACATGGCATGTTTTGTACTAATGTATTTTGATTAAATGTCCAGTGGTTTCTGGGCAAAATTAAGTTTTTGGGTTGTGTAGTAGAGGCTTGAAAGAAGAATGAGTGATCTGGCACTGTTAGTTAATGGATGTTTGCCACTGCTTGTCAGGCCAACTGGCTTGTGCAGTCACGCAGTACCTGTGACTTTCGCATGTGTTGAACTGACTTGTAATTTCCTGTTTTGACCTATTCTGCTTTAGCTCTGCTGAGGTATATTTAAAGTTCACATTTTTTTTCTATTAACTTTTGATCTTTAAAATGGCATCTTGCTTCAAGTTGTGGAGACAAAAATCCATTGTCTTATTCAACTAACTGAAGGGTAGTAACTTAAGAATTGTAGAAGCAAAAATGAAGAACAGCACCAAATGATTAAGTTGATCATCTTCACTTGCCTTCTTTCCTACCCCCTAACTCTTAGCCCAGATGCATTTAGGAAATGGTATCATTCTTCTAGTGGGAGTGAACAGGTCAGTAAAGAGAATGTGCTTAGTTCTTGTCACCTGTTCAGTCTCCTTTCCCCTTTCCTTTTTGTGCAGATTGTCAGGCCCAGAAAGTCAGCTCTGGAGAGGTCAAGCTGCTTTTCTTAATAGCCACCACAAAAAACTTGAGCCCATGGGCAAACCAGAACCTTGCCTCTGGAAGAATCTACTGCCACCTCCTGGTGAGAAGGGAACTACTTATTTTTGCCCTTTTTTGGGGGGTGTGCTTCAGAGGTTTTGTCTTCTGGTTTGGAGCTAAGGGAATCCCCTCATTTTATCTTCCTAGATGCAGTTTGTCTTACAAGTCAGTTTCTGCATTTAGCTATTTTTAAAAAAGGGGGGGGAGGAAACCCCTTTATTCAGTAGCTTAAATCAGGAGTCTGCGAACGTTTTCTGTAAAGGACCATACAGTAAATATTTTAGGTTTTGTTGCTGCAGGTTCTTTGTTTTGTTTTTATAACCCTTTAAAAAATGCAAAAATCATTCTTAGCTTGCCGCCTGTATGAAAACAGTCTGAGGGCTGAATTTGGCCCACAGACCGTGGTTTGCCTAATCTTGGTTTATATGATAGTGTAGTTTTTTGTTGTTTTGGTAGCTTCTGTATGATACTTTGTCCCAAATAACTATGTCCTGCTTGGATTCTGATGGCAAAAGAGTGTTCTCAGTTTTGAAAAGGAGGGATATTTAATGGCTGAATACTTAACTCATTCCAGAAGTCGCTGAGTAGTTTTGACTTTTATTTTATCTTTATTTGCTTTATCCTAGAAGTTTAATTAATACTGTAGTAAAAATAGAAATGGAAACAGTTGATAGGAAAAAAATGTGCTGTAATACAGTCAGAGCCTCTGGATTTGAATCCCTGTTCTGCCAGAACTTGGACAAGTTCTCTCTGCTTAATTTACTCATCTGTAAAGTGGAAATTGTTGTGAGGGGTTAAATGAGATAATATAAGGAAAGCTCTTAGAACAGAGCCTGGCATATGGAGTAAGGACTCATTTGAAATTGTTGTGATTAAGTAGAATCTTTTGATTTAAATGTTTTATTGTCTCTGAATTTTGCTGCCTCTTAGTAGAGGTATTTTTCTTTTATGTACCAAAGTTCAATCTTTTATAGGTTTGTACTAGATTTAAAAACTTGTTTTCTGAGTGATGAGGCCAAACCTTTAAACTACCTAAAACTACGTAAAAATACATTATTTTTAACATGTTCCTCATAGAAATGCCAGTCATTTAAGTGTATAGGAAAATAAATCCAAGTGTTAAATTATTTAATGCATAGTAGGTTTTTTTGTTTGTGATGAGAGGCCCTTGTGTGTTATAGTTTATCAATTTACTCACCAGTTTTTCAGATAATGACAAAAAAGCCCAGGTGTTGTCTCCATTTCCTGGAAAGTCCTTTGATGAGGCAATTACCTATTACTTGAAGTAGAATGGTCTGATGTCACTAATTAAAACCATTTCATTAGGCACAGAATATTATTGGAAAGATGTGATGACCTTGTATTTTCAAAAATGTTTTATTTGTAGCTACTTGGCTAATGGTCATGGTTGTTTTATATATATATATATATGTATATATATATATATATACACACACACACACACACACACACACACACATATATTTCTCTTTTAGATATCTGTTTTTGGTGTTTTTAAAGATTTTTACTGGACTATAATTGCTTTACAATGTTGTGTTAGTTTCTGCTGTATAACAGGGTGAATCAGCTATATGTATACATATATCCCCATATCCCCTCCCTCTTGCGCCTCCCTCCCACCCTCCCTATCCCACCCCTCTAGGTGGTCACAAAGCACCGAACTGATTTCCCTGTGCTATGTGGCTGCTTCCCACTAGCTGTCTGTTTTACATTTGGTAGTGTATATATGTCCATGCCACTCTCTCACTTGGTTGCAGCTTCCCCTGCCCCCTCCACATGTCCTCAAGTCCATTCTCTACGTCTGCGTCTTTATTCCTGTCCTGCCCCTAGGTTCATCAGAACCTTTTTTTTTTTAGATTCCTTGTATATATGTTAGAATACGGTATTGGTTTTTCTCTTTCTGACTTACTTCACTCTGTAAGACAGACTCTAGGTCCATCCACCTCACTACAAATAACTCAATTTCATTTCTTTTTATGGCTTAGTAATATTCCACTGTATATATGTGCCTCATCTTCTTTATACATTCATCTGTCGATAGACAATTAGGTTGCTTCCATGTCCTGGCTATTGTAAATAGTGTTGCAGTGAACATTGTGGTACATAACTGTTTTTGAATTATGGTTTTCTCAGGGTATGTGCCCAGTAGTGGGATTGCAGT